GGAGGGGAGACCTTGAGCGGGAATTTTGGGGGCATTTCGGGGAAATTCGGGGAAATTCGGGGAAATTCGGGGTCGCTCGCCGCTCCCGCTCCCGCTTTGGGGCCCCGATCCCGCTCCCCTTTCCCGGCCCCTTCTCCCGGGTTTCAGCTGCCGGTTTTTAATCCCGGTTTTTATCCCGAATTCCCGGGTTTTATTCCCGTTTTAATCCCGATTTCTTTCGGCGCTCACCCGCCGGCAGCAGCGGCTCCTCGTCCGCCATCTTGGCCGCTGCTCACGTGACGCGGCCCTCACGTGACTGACCCCCGGCTGGGGGCGTGGCTTAAGGAGCCACGGATCCACATGAATCAGTGAAGGGGCGTGGCTTGCGCAGCGGCCAATCCACATAAAGATTTATTGTGGGCGTGGTTTAACCCCCGCGCATAAATAAACATAATAATAAACATAAATAAACCCTTAAATCCATATTAGGAAGGGAGGCGTGGTCTTTGCCCATATATGGCGCTATGGGGGCGTGGCTTGTGCCGCTCCTCAGGAGGCACCGCCCATTTTTCCCCGCCCCTTTCTCTCCCCCTCAGGAGCCGCCGCCATTTTGCCCCCCCCAGCCCCGGTCATGGCGCTGGTCTCGGCCGATTCGCGCATCGCGGAGCTGCTGGGGGAGCTGCACCAGCTCATTAAACAGACGCAGGTACCGCATTTCCCCAGGGTTTAGGGGTTCCGGGACCCCCCATTTTCTGTTGGGATTCCCTGTTCCTCCTCAGGATCCTCCATTCCCTCCCTCCATCCCCGTTTCCTCCGCTTTCCCCCCATTACTCCTCACCGATCCCGCTCTTTCCCCTCCGCTTCCCTTCACGGACCCAAACAATTGCCCGTTTCCCCCGCCCCAAATCATCTCTTGCCATTAACGGATCCCAAAAATCACCCAGCTCACCCCAAAATGACCTTTTTCCCCTCACGGACCTCTTGTTCGCCCCTCATTTCCCCTCACAAATTTGCATTTCGCCTTACTAATTCCTCGTTTTCCCTCAAGATCCTCCGTTTCCCATCACGAACCTCACAAAATCTCCCATTTCTTCCCCCCAAACCGCCCATTTTACCCAAAAATCGAGCCCATCTAGCCCTAAAATCACCTATTTTATCATAAAAACGCCCATTCCTATTGCAAAATGGGGCTTTTTTACCCCAAAGTCACAAATTTTACGCTGAAACTGACCGATTTTACCCTAAAATTGCACTTTTCTGCTCCGAAATCACCCACTTCTACCCCAAATCCCCCTTAATTGACTCAAATCCCTCTTTTTCCCCTCAAAATCCCCTTTATTCCTCACAACGTGCTCTTTTCCCCCTTCAAATCCTCCTTTTTCCCCCACAAAAATCTTCATTAGAAACTCCAACCCCCAATTTCCCCCCAAAATCTTCAATGATCCCCCTAAAATTCCTAATTTCCCTCCAAAAGTCCCTTTTTTATTTTGAAAAATCCTCATTTATTAACGCCAACACTTCCAAATCCTTCGTGTTTTTTTCCTTATAAATCCCCCTTTATCACTGAATTTGTTTTATATTATTTTTTACCCTTTCTGCTTCTCTTTTTTCTCTCATTTCCCCCTTTTTTTCCCCAATTTTACCTCCTTTTTCCCCGATTTTTTGCCCAACTCTCTCCCTAAAGGAGGAGCGCTCCCGCAGCGAGCACAACCTGGTGAACATCCAGAAGACGCACGAGCGGATGCAGACGGAGAACAAAAGTAAAAAACAATCCCGGGATTTCGGGGGAGAATTTTGGGGGGGATTTTGGGGGGTTTTTGGGACCTCCTGACCCTCCTGGGACCCCCCAGTTTCCCCCTATTACCGCACCAAGCTCCGCGGGCTCTACACCACAGCCAAGGCCGACGCCGAGGCCGAGTGCAAGTGAGTCCGGAATTCCCACTCGCATCCCAAAAAACCTTCCCATTCCTCACATTCCTGCTTTTACCCTGCAAATTCACGCTTTTTTCCCCCTCAGATTTTCGCTTTTTCCCCCTGAAAATTCTGGATTTTTCCCTCAAATTTCTGCTCGTTGACCTCCAATTCTCACTTTCCCCCCTCAAATTTCCACCTTTTCCCCCCCTAACTTCTTTCTCATTGCATCGAATTTTTACTCTCTCACTCTTTTCCCCTCAAAATTCCCTTAAAAATCCCATTTTTTCACCCTCTTCCCTAACTTTATCCCCCAAAACCCCCATTTCCCCCCCCTTTCC